TCAAAACAGACAGTTGTTTGCAAAATTTTAATGTCGTTCCAATAACGACTGAAAATGCTTTAATATGATATATCACTCAACCCATTCGGATGATTATTTGTGGTACCTGATTTGCATGGAAAATAAAAAGAAAAAAAAATTTCAATGGTCGAAAGAAAAAGTAAAGCACTCCCGAATACAAAGTTCCTCCCCGGTTTCATTAATCGGAACAAAAACACGTTCGAGTCACGCGGTTTTTTCCAGATGTGTTGTTACATAAAAACAGTGCTGACACGTTGCTAATCAATGAAAAAAGTTTCAGATTGCTCAAATGGTATCCAATAAAGCCACAGCTCGTCGTGGCATGTTAATTGTTTTTGAAGGCCTTGACAAAGCTGGAAAATCTACGCAGGCTCAGAAACTGGTCACGAAAATAGAGCAAAGTGGAAGGAAAGTCGAGTTAATGAAATTTCCCGATCGGTCGACTCATATTGGAAAATCAATCAATGAATATCTAGTGGACTCGAAATTTAAGTTGAACGACAAATCAATCCATTTACTGTTTTCGGCAAATCGATGGGAAAAATACGATGAAATGAAGAATAAATTAAATGACGGGATAAGTTTGGTCGTGGATCGCTACGCGTTTTCAGGAGTAGCATATACTTGCGCGAAGCCTGGATTTACTATGCAGTGGTCCAAATCGCCCGATATCGGGCTTCTCAAACCAGATATTGTATTTTTCATGCTCTTGAACCCAGATAACGCCCAACATAGAGGTGATTATGGCGCGGAAAGATACGAAAAAGTCGAATTCCAGAAGAAGGTTTTGGACAACTTTATGGGAATGAAAGACGAAACTTGGCAAATAGTTAATGCGGAAGATTCAATTGATTCAATACATGGAGGTATAGTGGAAAAGTATGAAGATGTTTTGAAAAATCAAAAAGAAAATTTTGAAAAAGGACATATACCGAGCCTTTGGTCGGATCTGCAATGAGAAATTCAATCGTTTTTTATATGAACAGTTTTTTTTTTCAATATATTTTTGTTGTTAATTGTGCTCTTTGTTTTTGTACTTCTTTTTGCTTTGATAGAATTGGTTTGAAATCGTGTAAATTGATCTTTCACGTTTCTTGGTAGTATCGCATTTCTTTTATTGTTCTTTTCATTCTCGCAATAATGAGAAAAACATATAGATTTTTTAATTTTCATTTTGTTGTTTTATCGTATGCAGTCTGTAATTTAATGTGTTTGCTCTTCAATGAACTCCGTCCAGCAATTACCTGAGTTTGTGATCAAAATTGTTTTTCAGGTGGTTTGGTGTGCCTCTGTACTAGTGTGCTGGTATGTTTTGTTGTTATTATCTGTGTACAAAACGCTGCTGACTTCGAAGCGATAGTCTACATTGGGACTGTCCTCGAAGCACAAGCAGGCTGCAAACTAAATCGGGCGTTCGATTTTGGTTGAATCGACACAACATAAATTAACATCAAATGGTTGTTTACCATCTCTAGTTATCGTTTGTTACTAACTAGCAAGCAGCCTAATATTAATTACAATCGTTATCAGGCCAAGAGGTTTGAGCTACTTATTTTGGCTCGGATATTTGGTTAAATTATACCAACAAAGAGTTCCTTTCATTTAATAATTACGTCATCATTAGTCCTGTTCAGCCTTACTAAAAAGCACCAAGGTATCATCGAAAACGTTTTTTTTTTAAAGGACCGCTTTGCCTTTATTTGCAATATTTTGTATTCGTTTAACGAAGCTGTACTTAGTCTTGGAAACTTTCGTTTGTCTGCATCCTCATATCTTGAGTTCGGAGCCCGGAACTCTGGATCGTTGCCAACTTTGATTGGACTATTTTCGTTAATTTCAAAAGAATATTTTTGTTGATGAAGCTGCCTGCTGCAAATATAGTCGAGACTTCAAATGGTAAGTTCTTGGTTGGAATTAGTTTGAAATTTTCTGATTGATTTCATCTATTTCATCCATTTTGTAGTTGCATTTTATTGCACTAAATCAGTAAGTTAATAAATTTACTAATTTAGTGCAATAAAAATGAAAGTATTCAAGGTTTTGGTGTTGTATAGTTCATTGCTAAGTGTTTCTATGTATAATTCATGGCTACTCTGTCATGGACTCCGGACTCCCCCCCCCCCGCAAAACAAATTGAGTTTTTTATAGACCTTATTCCCCTAGAATATTAACCCCTCCATTTTTTGGGACCTAAATGGACCCCACCAGAATTTTTATACCCTAAATTTCATACAGTGCTGATTTAAATTATCCGGACAAAACGAACAAAACTTGAATTTTCGAACGCGTTTTTCTCAATTTGGGTTAAGATTTGACAAAAATTGAAGAGAACAAAAGTTGCTTAAAATTTCACCAGAATTAATATGGTGCAATTTTTTCTCTGAAAATCTCAACAAAAATTTTACCCCAAAAATGAGTCATTTTGGCTTTTTTCAATTAATCAAGAATTACGCTGAAACTACTTTATTAATTGTAGAGCAGAAATAATTGAAATAAGTAGAGCAGAGTACATAGCGTTCAATAATTATGTGAATTCAATTTTGAGTGTTTTGCTTCTAGGCAGGTAATGCATGTCTGAGTCTCTTTGCAAATGAAGTCGATTATTCGCATCTATCTGAATTCGATTTACTTTCGAAAAAATGAAGTCACAATATGACCGACTAGGGCGACGAAAAGTGTTTTTCCAAGTTTTAAGCTTTCGATTCACGTTAAATCACTTTGAAGCTTTAACCAGCTTAGCATAGAGTTAAATTACTATTTAGTATTTCTTATAATTGCGAGGGAACGCCAGGGAATCAAAAAAGAATTCAGCTACACCAAGTGCTTATAAAGTCTCCAGTGCGTATCAGGGTAAATTTCGACTGCATTTTAAATAGTCTCAAGCTGTTTGATCAAAAGTTAATAAGTTCTATAAAAAAGAAGTTGAAATTGTTTTAAAAATTTCTCATTTTTATAACAAGCGATGATAAGCTGGCTGAATTTGTTTTACAAAGCGATGATAAATTGGCTTGATTCCCGGCTTAAATAATTCGAAGCGTATGCGTTATATACAGGTTCTTTTTTTTTAGGTCGACCAAATTGATTTTCTGAGCTCTCCCAAATCACTATAAAGACCCCATTTTGACCAAATTTTTTGGGCCGCCCGCAAATTGTTTTTTAAAAAGGCGAATTTAAGCACTTTGGAAAATTTTGACTAAAAAAATTTCCCCGCGCGCGCTTCCCCTCAAAAATAGAATATTTTGGCACCTTGAGAAAATTTTAGGGTCAGCCAGCCAAAAACTGAAATCTCAAAAAAGTACAAAGGGGCACCCTTTGGTCGGCAGGGGGTCGAATTCTTGAGTGAGACGGTGTCTGCCCCCGCCCCGACCCCTAAATCAGCTGGTGGTTTGCTTCACTTCTCTACGGTGGCGTCCCTCATGATGGGGGGACCGAATTGTGGAAACTTGTTTTCCGTTATTTTCATCCAATCAGAATTGAGTGCTGAAAAACCTCAAAGAAATAACGCAACTCACAAAGAAAGCGAATAAACCCAGGTCATTATTTATTTTAACTGATTAGAAAATAAGCAGAAATATGAACATTCGACAATTGGGATATCAAAGCCGGGTGTTGGAAATACCTAAAACCGGTTTGTTTTAAACAAATGAAAAACGAAACAGTTGTTTTAGAAATCTGCACGAATTGTGCAGTAAAGATTTGCTAGCTGCTATAATTTATTTTCTGTTAATTTTGATTTCAGTCTTGTGCAAAAGTCTTTCAGCGAATAGGCACGTCTAACGTTTCTGTTGGTTTAAACTTTTCCATCTTTCCACCTATTAAATTGTTGCAGCGCCTTGGAGCAAGTGTTAATTAAAAATTCTTGATTGATCTGATAATATTACTGTTTTTGTCGGAGCTACTTGAATTAAAGAGGGTTAAATGGCTGAACTTGGGGGGAATGGAGACTTAGGGGGTTTCCAACATAGGGGGTTAATTGATCCCTCATTGATAGTATTTTACAACATCCGTTTGGGAAAGATATATTTTGAGGCGCTTGTGGGATCAATATATTTCTACTTTGAGGGGGGACATTTTTAGCCTGTTTATAAAAAATCACATGCAGCGCAAAAAAATTGTGGCAAAATAGCACTATTTAGTGTTTTGGGCGACCTCGAAAAAATGATTTGGTCGACATCCGAAAATGGTCGAGAAAATTCTAGATTCCGACTTGGGCGAAATACCGCTCTGGTATTTCAGACTGCTTCGGAAAAACGTTTTAGATTTGAAAAAAATTGATATTCAGAATTACCCAGTATGGACCAATATTTATCTTTGATATTCAGCAGATTCATTTAACAGTTTCGGAAATGAACAGTCGACTTTCATCACACGATGCACAAGAAAAGAGACTAAATTAGATAATAAACGCCCTTAATAAAGATACAACCTTATTGTCAGCGTACACCCTAGCGTCTCAAATCTTGCCTCTTAATTTGAATGCTCAAATCCTGTTAGTTTCCGAGATAAGACGTTTTTTTTTCAATTTTTTTTCGGGAAACTTGGGTTTAAAAAAATCCACAAAATTTCGAATTCCTACCTCTAGTTTTTTTTAACTTAAATTGCTAATTTCTATATATTACGAACGTTACTCGATCGGTTTACACGCTCAAAATTAGACCTAGAATCAAAAATCTTAAATCAAAACAGACAGTTGTTTGCAAAATTTTAATGTCGTTCCAATAACGACTGAAAATGCTTTAATATGATATATCACTCAACCCATTCGGATGATTATTTGTGGTACCTGATTTGCATGGAAAATAAAAAGAAAAAAAAATTTCAATGGTCGAAAGAAAAAGTAAAGCACTCCCGAATACAAAGTTCCTCCCCGGTTTCATTAATCGGAACAAAAACACGTTCGAGTCACGCGGTTTTTTCCAGATGTGTTGTTACATAAAAACAGTGCTGACACGTTGCTAATCAATGAAAAAAGTTTCAGATTGCTCAAATGGTATCCAATAAAGCCACAGCTCGTCGTGGCATGTTAATTGTTTTTGAAGGCCTTGACAAAGCTGGAAAATCTACGCAGGCTCAGAAACTGGTCACGAAAATAGAGCAAAGTGGAAGGAAAGTCGAGTTAATGAAATTTCCCGATCGGTCGACTCATATTGGAAAATCAATCAATGAATATCTAGTGGACTCGAAATTTAAGTTGAACGACAAATCAATCCATTTACTGTTTTCGGCAAATCGATGGGAAAAATACGATGAAATGAAGAATAAATTAAATGACGGGATAAGTTTGGTCGTGGATCGCTACGCGTTTTCAGGAGTAGCATATACTTGCGCGAAGCCTGGATTTACTATGCAGTGGTCCAAATCGCCTGATATCGGGCTTCTCAAACCAGATATTGTATTTTTCATGCTCTTGAACCCAGATAACGCCCAACATAGAGGTGATTATGGCGCGGAAAGATACGAAAAAGTCGAATTCCAGAAGAAGGTTTTGGACAATTTTATGGGAATGAAAGACGAAACTTGGCAACTAGTTAATGCGGAAGATTCAATTGATTCAATACATGGGGGTATAGTGGAAAAGTATGAAGATGTTTTGAAAAATCGAAAGGAAAATTTCGAAAAAGGACATATACCGAACCTTTGGTCGGATCTTCAATGAGAAATTCAATCGTTTTTTTTATATGAACAGTTTTTTTTTCAATATATTTTTGTTGTTAATTGTGCTCTTTGTTTTTGTACTTCTTTTTGCTTTGATAGAATTGGTTTGAAATCGTGTAAATTGATCTTTCACGTTTCTTGGTAGTATCGCATTTCTTTTCATTCTCGCAATAATGAGAAAAACATATAGATTTTTTAATTTTCATTTTGTTGTTTTATCGTATGCAGTCTGTAATTTAATGTGTTTGCTCTTCAATGAACTCCGTCCAGCAATTACCTGAGTTTGTGATCAAAATTGTTTTTCAGGTGGTTTGGTGTTCCTCTGTACTAGTGTGCTGGTATGTTTTGTTGTTATTATCTGTGTACAAAACGCTGCTGACTTCGAAGCGATAGTCTACATTGGGACTGTCCTCGAAGCACAAGCAGGCTGCAAACTAAATCGGGCGTTCGATTTTGGTTGAATCGACACAACATAAATTAACATCAAATGGTTGTTTACCATCTCTAGTTATCGTTTGTTACTAACTAGCAAGCAGCCTAATATTAATTACAATCGTTATCAGGCCAAGAGGTTTGAGCTACTTATTTTGGCTCGGATATTTGGTTAAATTATACCAACAAAGAGTTCCTTTCATTTAATAATTACGTCATCATTAGTCCTGTTCAGCCTTACTAAAAAGCACCAAGGTATCATCGAAAACGTTTTTTTTTAAAGGACCGCTTTGCCTTTATTTGCAATATTTTGTATTCGTTTGACGAAGCTGTACTTAGTCTTGGAAACTTTCGTTTGTCTGCATCCTCATATCTTGAGCTCGGAGCCCGGAACTCTGGATCGTTGCCAACTTTGATTGGACTATTTTCGTTAATTTCAAAAGAATATTTTTGTTGATGAAGCTGCCTGCTGCAAATATAGTCGAGACTTCAAATGGTAAGTTCTTGGTTGGAATTAGTTTGAAATTTTCTGATTGATTTTTATCTATTTCATCCATTTTGTAGTTGCATTTTATTGCACTAAATCAGTAAGTTAATAAATTTACTAATTTAGTGCAATAAAAATGAAAGTATTCAAGGTTTTGGTGTTGTATAGTTCATTGCTAAGTGTTGCTAAGTCCCCCCTTTTAACTATTTTGAGATTCCTTTTTTGGCTAACGAAAACTAAAAAAGGCGAACTTATTCATAGACCTTATTCCGCTAGAATATTAACCCCTCCATTTTTTGGGACCTAAATGGACCCCACCAGAATTTTTATACCCTAAAATTTATACTTTAAAAAAATCAATAAAAAAAGTTTTAAAAAATATCAATTATGTGTACACCAAAATGAAGCAGCGGGACCTCCTCTGATAAATTTGAACACCCCTCCCCCTCTCTTTCAAAAGATGTCCGATCCCCCCCCCCCAGTTTTTTCGACCCCCCGCGAAATAAGTAGAGCAGAGTACATAGCGTTCAGTAATTATGTGAAATCAATTTTGAGTGTTTTGCTTCTAGGCAGGTAATGCATGTCTGAGTCTCTTTGCAAATGAAGTCGATTATTCGCATCTATCTCAATTCGGTTTACTTTCGAAAAAATGAAGTCACAATATGACCGACTAGGGCGACGAAAAGTGTTTTTCCAAGTTTTAAGCTTTCGATTCACGTTTGATCGCTTTGAAGCTTTAACCAGCTTAGCATAGAGTTAAATTACTGTATTTAGTGTTTCTTATAATTGCGAGGGAACGCCAGGGACTCAAAAAAGAATTCAGCTACACCAAGTGCTTATAAAGTCTCCAGTGCGATTTCTTTTCTTCGCGCGAAGAAAACATTTTTTTTTCCAGAAAGACTGCTCGTATCAGGGTAAATTTCGACTGCTTTTTAAATAGTCTCAAGCTGTTTGATCAAAAATTAATATATTTTATAAAAAGAAGTTGAAATTGTTTTAAAAATTTCTCATTTTAATAACAAGCGATGATAAGCTGGCTTAATTTGTTTTACAAAGCGATGATAAATTGGCTTGATTCCCGGCTTAAATGATTCGAAGCTTATGCGTTATACAGGTTCTTTTTTTTAGGTCGACCAAATTGATTTTCTGAGCTCTCCCAAATCACTATAAAGACCCCATTTTGACCAAATTTTTTTACGCCGCCCGCAATTTGTTTTTTAAAAAGGCGAATTTAAGAACTTTGGAAAATTTTGACTAAAAAAATTTCCCCGCGCGCGCTTCCCCTCAAAAATAGAATATTTTGGCACCTTGAGAAAATTTTAGGGTCAGCCAGCCAAAAACTGAAATCTCAAAAAAGTACAAAGGGGGACCCTTTGGTCGGCAGGGGGTCAAATTCTTGAGTCAGACGGTGTCTGCCCCCGCCCCGCCCCCTAAATCAGCTTGTGGTTTGCTTCACTTCTCTACGGTGGCGTCCCTCATGATGGGGGGACCGAATTGTGGAAACTTGTTTTCGTTTTTTTCATCCAATCAGAATTGAGTGCTGAAAAACCTCAAAGAAAACACGCAACTCACAAAGAAAGCGAATAAACTCAGGTCATTATTTATTTTAACTGATTAGAAAATAAGCAGATATATGAACATTCGACAATTGCGATATCAAAGCCGGGTGTTGGAAATACCTAAAACCGGTTTGTTTTAAACAAATGAAAAACGAAACAGTTGTTTTAGAAATCTGCACGAATTGTGCAGTAAAGATTTGCTAGCTGCTATAATTTATTTTCTGTTAATATTGATTTCAGTCTTGTGCAAAAGTCTTTCAGCGAATAGGCACGTCTAACGTTTCTGTTGGCTTAAACTTTTCCATCTTTCCACCTATTAAATTGTTGCAGCGCCTTGGAGCAAGTGTTAATTAAAATTTCTTGATTGATCTGATAATTTTACTGTTTCTTCATGTTTGCTCTCATGTTTGCTTCCAAGATAAGATTTTCAAGGTCGAGCATCTTTCAAGTAAGATGTAAACAAAGTAAAGCAAGCTTTGGTACTTTTGAAAAGTAAAGCGTTTTATAATTACAGTTTTTTGAATTGGCTTTTTGTTTCTACTTTCCTCAACTTTTTTTTCTATTTTATGGATACAATAAAATAAAAATTACTTCTTCACAATGATAAGATGTTTGTTTTTGAAAGTTGTTTTCATCTTCAATTTTTTTTAGTTCGTATGACTTAGTATTTAGTCCCCCCTTTTAACTATTTTGAGATTCCTTTTTTGGCTAACGGAAACTAAAAATTTACTAAAGGCGCCTTCTGCGCCTATATATCTAATTTTGAGAGAACGCGCGCCGAAAAAACACAATTTTCAAAAGTATCCTAAAAGTGCTCAAAATCGCTTTTTTAAGACTGTGTTCCAAAAATTTGTCTACGCTGCGGCACAAAACATTTGGCCAAAACAGGATCTTTTTTTGTGATTTGGGAGAGCTTGGAAAACAATCCGCCTCCTCTCGAAATATTCTGGGCCTCCCTTCGAAAAAATCCTAGATCCGCACTTGGACAAAACCAGGCGAGTTGAAAGGGTTTTATTATCCCCCTTCATTTACGAGGCTTACAAGAGTTTAAATAAATGACGTGTTTTTCAGCCAATTTCTCCCATTCACGTCGTACAAGTTGGAATATGTTTCTGGCTTTTCTCGGAAAATTTTTTTTCTTCATTTTATCTTTTGTTCATTCAATTCGTCTTCACTGTCAATTTATAGTCCGCTATTTTTGGAATTAACTGTTCGGTAGCGATAAGTTTCTATTTAAAATTTTTTTTGGAATGTTTGTTTTTTTCTCTTGCCTTTGCTGTTGATTTTTATATTTTGGTCAGTTTATTTCGTTAATAGTTTACTGTTACTGGTTCACTTTGCTCTCAGTTTTCTTGGAAATTGCAGAAACGGCGGAAACTGTACGGGGTTTTTGTTCCGACCATTGAAAATGGGGAGGAACTTTGTTTTCGGGTGTTTTTTTTTTCACGCAAAATCAGGTACCACAAATAATCATTGAACTGAGTTGAGTGATCATATTAAAGCCCTTTCAGTCGTGATTCGAACCACTTTAAAAATTTCCATAAACAAATCCCAGTGTCGAGAAAAACCGGCTTGAAGTGTATTAAAAATGTTTTTAGAAGTTTTTTTTTAGCCAGAGAAGCGCTAAATTAAGCTTCCAAAACTAGTTATCCTTGTGGTAAAATCATTTTTTTAAGCTTAAATTGCTAATTTCTATATATTACGAACGTTACTCGATCGCTTTACACGCTCAAAATAGACCTAGAATCAAAAAATTTTAATTAAAACAGACATCTGAAAAGTAGCAATGCTCAGTCAACAATCTAAAAGCTGAAAAGGTTTTTGAGATGCGCTCATTTTTCGTTAACTTATGGGAATTCGAAAATTGTCCATTTTGAATAATTAAATTGCGGTATATTTCGTTTCAAATATGGACACGGCGCAAATAGGACCCGGAGCTTTTATTCAATTGTGAAAAGTGGAATTTCGTTTTAAGTGGAGTAGAAAACATTTTTATATTTTTAGTGTCTGTGACATCGGCTGGGCGTGATCTGATTGAACAGACACAACAGAAGTTCAGTGGGACCACCTCCAATATTACGAACAAAAAGCAAGTCACACTACCCACGTCTCAAAGCCAGCAAAGGTGCGTGGGGATAGTTCCATGTCAATTTTTCAATTGATTTCTTGTTTTTTGTTGTTTCGTGTTAGGGTAAAAAAAAAGGTAGCATACTCTTCTTTTTTTTACCTGGTGGGCTTGCATTTTCATAAGGGCCGTAAAAATCAATGGTTGCCCTTATAAGTTTGACTTGGTTACTTGAACCAATTTTTGGTCTTTAGCCATACGATGACAATCGAGTCGGATATGTTGGGTGAAGATGAGTACGAGTCACTGCCTGCTTCTGTTGGTCTGAAGACATACATGATAGCAGGCGCCATGGCGGGAATATTAGAACACTGTGCAGTCTACCCCCTAGATTCAGTCAAGACCAGAATGCAAAGCATACTGCCACAGGAAACATGCAGGTATGTAGGTTCTCACCTCACACGGAATTTAATGTTTCAGATTTTGGCATAACAATAATCAGAATTGATCCAAAGTTGCACGAACCCCCCTCCCCCCTTATTATTTTGAGCCATGCCGCATTGAAAACCCCTTTTTTGACCGAAATCCACTCCACAGTAATTTTCAACCATACGAATTAAGTAGCGGAAAAAGTCAAGAATTTGCCGAGGAATGTTAGAGAAAATCAATTAGTGGCCGCTTAATGCTGATGTTTTTTAAATGCTTTATAAGAGTCAGTCCTGCTATAGAACCGAAAGTTTGTTGAGTTGTCAATGAGCAGTCGAGAAAGCAGCCCTTATTATGTTGTTTTCTGAAGAAATCTACTGTTAGAAACTAGATTGGAAAGGAAAACAAAATAGCTGGCTACTAGACGTGAATGCGTTGTCGACCAAAAACACCCAATCTAACCGAAACTAATCTAATTCATTCAAAAGTGGGGTGTACCGTACAGTTTACAGACTTCTTCATTGAGTTGCTTCTACTAAGCGAATGCTTTAATACGCTATCGGTTTGCAAGCGTTATAGAATCTGATTTTCCTACAAACGCGCTTAAGTTTTGATCTAATATTTTTGTTTTTCGATGAAATTTGTTAATTAGATCAATTTATTTCAAACTTAACGCAAACTTATGAAAAATTTGACTTTTATTTTACCTAAACCGACTTTCTAGAATTCATCTTGGATAGCTGCCTAATTTTTGCAGAAACTTGAAGTGTGTGCTGCAGGTATAAAGGAGTGACAGATGCCTTTAAGACCATTTCGAAGACGGAGGGCATGTTCCGCACTGTGAAGGGTATCAATGTGGTGGCGGTGGGGGCTGGACCCGCACACGCTCTCTACTTCTCCTGCTACGAAGTGATGAAGAGGAAGTTCTCATCCGTACTCCAGTCTAAAACCGGACAGAGTCCAGTGGCAAATGGTATGTAGTTTGGTTCTTTACACCGGTTTATTTACTCTGTCTTAACCGGTATTAGAAATAGAGACCCACTGGAATCTTGAGTTTCTTTCGCAAATTTTGCGTTTCTTTCACTCTGGCACAATCATTGGTTTAAATAACAGTTTTTCTCCAAGTCTACTAAAACGTGGTAAATTTTGGAATTTCATTTCATTAAATTTTTTATCCCAAGGCTATTGGTTGTTTTAGCTACCGCTGGATTTTGTGCTACTTTCATCCACGATACATTCATGAACCCAGCCGAAGGTAAGAATGTGTTTACTTTTATTCAGCATATCTTTTCAAGTTTATAAGCTAGTATGGCTAACTGGGAATAATTTTTATCTTATTGAATTGGCGCGCCAGGAATTGGGTTTTGTATGTGAGTTTTTGGACATGAAATTTGACAAAAATTGCGCTGAACTTATATAATTTTTATTACTCATTACAAATTCATTTTATTCTTTGTTTTGTGTTGAATGTCGTAATTTCAAATTAGTCGTAATCCCACAACTATTTAGTTAGTCAATCCAACTAGCTATATACTCTTGATTAGATGACAAAATGCAAAAGAATAACTTTTCCATAGAATAATTTTGCAGGAGACTATGTGATTTTGAGAAGATTTGAAACGGTGTCCTGTTATCGGGAACTGGACTTTTTTTGTAAACAACTTTTCCTAGAAAAAATTGAACCTGCTTTGCTTTATTATTGAACCCGAACAACAACTTCCAGGTTCCTTTCCTCTTGGCCTGGAGGTAACGCGGTTGTTTTTGCAGCCTAAGGCCTGGGATTCGAGTCACTGTAGGACCTTGTTTTCTTCAGAATGCATAAAATCGAAAATGTTTTTCGGCTAAAAATTGAATTGCCGGACTTTCGTTTGTCAGCTCAAGTTTTGTCGGCTTAGATGCCACATAGCGGATTCTTCTTGTGCTGTAAGCAAGTATCATGGCTATTGCATGTGTTCATCGCCGTAGTTTCAGGGGGACTTAAAAATTTTAATATAATTTTTTTATAAACTGATTTTTTCTGCCCAACTGGTGTCTGCTTACAGATTTTCGGCTTTGTTTCTGCTTCGTAAGGTTTTCCGTTGCTGATTTAAAATTTGATCGTCTTGCTTGGCATTTTGAATTAGAATTCTTGTGTTACAAAAACAGGTATAATGAATTTGTATGAGGTTGGGTTTTGTATATTTTATATTGTTTGAGACACTTTTGAATTTTTTTCTAGTTTTGCAAACTTTTAAGATTTTCTCAAAAACTACACAAGCGATTTTCAAAAAAGGAGTATCCATGGAAAGATCGTCTACTCCCCTTTGTGTTTTCTTTACCCCACTGTCTATAGTCTGTGGGAAATATTTGACCCATAGTTTTGGATTTTTTTCGTTTTCCCAAAAATTACTCGCCCAAATGTGAGATTTCCGGTTCAATACAAAAAAAACAGTTTGTGGGAAGCTCCCCTGCACATGTGGCTGCCCCCAAATTTGTTTCATAAGAAAGTTATTGCCCTAGGAATAGTCAAGTTTTGATTTTTGACCGCTATTTGACTTTTCTCGAAAACAAGGGGTTCAACTGAAACAACGGGTTTTGGGAAGCTCCCCTGGATAATCAACACAGCCCAATTTTTTAACACAAATTTTATGGCCCTCGGAAAAGTAAAATTAGTTTTTTTTTTTCGTTTTTTTGAAACTATTTGTCTTCTCTCAAAAGCTACCCTCCGAAGTTTTTGATTTTAATCGAAATGACAGGTTGTGTAAATCTTATCTGCATAAGCGGCGCTAACGCCCAACATTTTTCACGCTAAAAGCTATAATTCTGGAGAAACTTAAGTTTGTGATTTATTGGCCGTTTTTTTTGGAAATTTTTTGACTTGTCTTAAAAAATACATTGCCAATTGTTTGTTTTCTTAGAAACTACCCTATCAAATCTGAGATGAACCGTACATTCGAATAAACCGTATGAATTTTTCCTGCAGAAGCGGCATCTACTTAATTTTTCGTAAGAAAAATGTTATGTCTTTGGAAAGATTCCAACTTCTCTGTAATTTTCACTCTTCTCACTTATTTTAGAAGAGACAACTAAGGTTTGGGCAAAGTCCATTTTTTAAATAACCCATTTCATTACGCATTAGTATAACAAATTCCAAAAATATCAAACACCTACCTCCAGCTTTAGCTGGGCCCCTGGTTATCTTTAATCGAGACATACCAAATTTTTGGTTCTAGTTTTTTATCAACCTTTTTCATTTTTTTTCTTCAATTTTCTATGTTTTTCTAATGTTTGTGTTGTATCTCAAGTTGTGCGAAGCCTGTGTATAACTCAAGTTGTGCGAAGCCTGTTTGTATCGCCTGTGTATAACTCTGGTTTGTTGCAGTTGTGAAGCATCGTCTGCAGATGTCCTGCAGTCCCTACAAAGGTGCGTTTGACTGCATCCGCACAGTTTATGCCCAGGAGGGTATCCCCGCTTTCTACCGCAGCTTCGGCACCGCCTTCCTTATGAACGCCCCCTTCCAGATGACACATTTTACGTGTTACGAGTATTTACAGGTATTTACTCTCGCCTTAGGTTTTGGAAGACTTTTTATGATCTCTTAGTTGCAGTAGCTTCTGCTGCTTTTTAAAAATAAAAATGGCAAGAAGATGTTTAAGTTCTTAAATTGCAGATTGTTAGATGTGGTTGCTTAGAAATAATGGTTAGCTAATAGTATTTCCACACAAGAGTATTTTGTAAATTTCTACTACTCGGACTTCAAGGAAATTTATTGAAAGGTCGTTTGGGATAATAAAATGATTAATAATAAAATTCTGTTCACGGCGATAATTTCTGAAAACTAACCCACGCTTTTTGTTAAGAAAACTAATGTTATAACCAAGTGACTTATTTCCAGGAATTATTGAACCCGTCTCGTGAGTGGAATCCATGGACACATTGTGCAGCTGGAGGCATAGCTGGGGCCTTAGCAGCGGCCATTACAACCCCAATGGATGTTTGCAAAACAGTATTAAATACTCAAGAACAATGTGTTACGTGTAATTTATACACTGGTCCAGCCACTGTTTCTGGACCAGTAGCTGCAGTTAAGACTATTTACGAGGCTAAAGGACTCTCAGGGTTTTTCAGTGGGATCCGAGCCCGAGTTCTGTTCCAGATGCCGGCCACTGCTTTATCGTGGTCGGTCTACGAACTGTTCAAGTATATAATCAGTAACAGAAACAGCTCATCTTCTTTGTCTTCTAGTCATCAATCTCTTGAGGTATTTTTTAAATTAAAAGTCAAAATTATTCTTCATTTTTGCAACGGCTATTTTTATGCAGCGGTGTGATAGTTCAAGTTTTGTGCCCTTGGCATCTGGTTAAATTTGGACTCTTTTGCAAATAAAAATCCGTGAAATCGAGTTTTGTTTCATAGTAATTATGCTTGAATTTCGAAACCAGCCGAATCAAGCTTAGAGGTTATCGATCTATTTCATTAGCGTTGACAGGAATTGATTTTTGAAAATTTGAGACGTTGAACTGCTTTATTTACGGACAGGAAAGATAAGGTAGTTATTTGACCGCAGAAACTAGTATTTTATTTCAAATCACCTTTTTTCAGGGCGCCACAACTGGAACATGAATGAAGGGTACAAGAAGCTGTTTATGCAATTCTGACTGAAAATCCTGACAGGAGACTGTTTGACCCTTCGTTGTTTACTGTCTGATTTGTTGCCTCCGATATTAAGTTTGAAACATCCCGCTCATAGAAAAAAACTCAAAACATTAGGAGATCATTAATCAAAATTAAAAAAATAAGAAATTAATGAAGAAAAATCAATCATGATGATAATAGCTAATACCTTTGAGCTATTTGTTTCTTCTTAAGATTGGGATTGCTTATAGAGGTATCGAAGGCAACAAATTCCTTCGGGTGCATTGTGAACTCTTTTTCATTGCATTGCGATGAATGAAGTTTAATGGTCTGCAAATATATATGGAAATGATGATGCAAATACACATTTGAAATGACCTTGTTTTCCTTTGATTACCGTGTACTTAAATGAAGCTTTTTACGGGAAGCTTTCATTCGCCCTTTCAGGAAACTAATATCTCTCAATCCCCTTCAACCGGATATTTTTGTTCGATCTAGCTTCTTTATGATTTTTAGTTGTCTTTGTCCATCACGTTAGGGATTTATCGCATTTTTTGACAATTTTACACAATGAGAAAGAACCATAGAAAAGAGTGTTTTTAAGCGTTTTTAGTCTTAAGGAAAGTTAATAGGGTGCAATAACAAAAGATCTAATGACTGTCATTGGGATTCCAAAAAGATCAGATAATTATCTCAGTGTAGAGAAAAAGTGGTCTGCATTTATTTGCTATTCAGAATCAAAGTTAGCACAGAGGCAATGATTTAGAGTATTTTTTGAAGAGGGGAAGAATTGAGTCTTTATACAGCATATAATGTTCCTTTTTTTAAGTGACTATGAACGTAGTGAAGGGACATATAGTTAGTGTTGATTTTTTTAAAGGAAGTTTTCCTAAAATTTGTCAACATTCTAGTTTGGTTTTTCGCAATTCGACTTTTAATTTGGAGATCATTGCCCTTCTTAATTGAACAGCAAAAGTATAAATGTCACGAAAAATTTGAATGGCGTCTGGTTTCAAAATGGGACTTTATTTTTTTTACTTCCAAAGCTGAATATAAAACTTTTCCATTGATCCAGTTCTCTCAAATTGGGTTAATTTCTTCTAGAAAGAGTCAATCATAAAATGCTCTTAACTTCAAGAGCTTTAAACCTACATATTATAAAATATTGTTTCCATTTCCTTGCGTTCATTGACAATTTTCCAACTGTCTGTTGGTTATGTATTATATTTAAATCATATTATACTCTGTGGGACAGTTTCTACCGCGCAAAAGTTAGTTCTAAAAACATGTTTTTCCTTGATAACTGTGGTCGGTGCATTCTGTGATTTTGCTCAGAAAGGCGTTACTCTTGTTTTCGAAAGTGTCTAATTGCTTGTCACCTGATTTGTAGAAAATGGAGCGGAGTGTTATATTGAATCTATTTTTCCCAACACATCTGAAATAAAAGTACTCATTTGGTTTATTTCCAAGCATTGACAAATAAGTAGCATCTGTAGCTGCTTTATTGCTGGCCAGTGTAAATGTAATTCCAAGCAACTGTTGTGCAGATGCCAGGACGTGAGACTCCCAAGCGCGAGTTTGACTTTACATTCCGGCACAGACATTGTGTTACTTTTATTTGGTGGCTCTTTTTCAGCCGTTTTGTAGACATATTAGTTGTAGCTGTTTTATTGGTAGCTCGGCTATTAACTTTCCTAGCGATTATAGCGCAGAAATTAGGGCGTGACTTTCTCAATCTCCACATTGGAGGATCCAATCAGCAAAAAAAATTAACCCATTCTATTTTCTTTATTTCGTATGACTTTTTTGAGCTACTTTTAGCCGTTTTCTCATTTACGAATTTTGCCGTTTTCTTGTTCCAGCTCTGTTTACATGGTGTCTCAATCTGGCCTGAAGCTTGAGTTGATTAATAAGCAACATATAAGCATTGATATTGCATAACCTTGTGGGCAAATTCGGTTTTTTTTCGATTCTTTTGATGTTCAACTCTCATTTCTTTTACAGAAAGGAAGGATTATCACGCTCTCCAATAGCAACAGTAAAACTTCCACAGTGATTTGAGAATGATTTTCAGTTTCAATAGTGGATCTCAGATTTTAGATTTCTCAGCGGAAAAAGATCTTCATCCGACCTAGGTTCATTGTTTTACCAATCATGTATGGTTCTTGACATTCAGAGTTTTAACTTGATATATTTCTTTTAAAGAAATTTGATTGTTAGTTTGCATGCTAGAAAACACCGCTCCAAATTTTTTAGACCTGGAATAGTATGTTTTCAGTCATAGTGCTCAAACCCGTTATTTCATACACCCAAGTCGCCAAGTTAACAGTTTAGTAGCTGAGGATACTACAAAACCCCTATTTCCCGCATATATCTAAGACAATAAAATATATTTTTATTGCTTATCAAATTTTTCTGAAATAAGTTTCCAGCGAAGTAATTGAGTCTCGAGCTATGTTTTCCCTCATCGTTGCTACAAGCGAATTCATATTCGTATGGCGCGTTTCTATGGCTACGGTTTTTAACTGTACTTTTGGTTGATTTATCTAAAAGATGCAAAAGAGCTAGCCTACTGAATATTCTGACGCCTCTGTTTTATAAAATAATCAGAAAAAAGACAATTGATTAAGATTTTTTTGGAATCATTTTAGTTATATAAAAAGGATCAACTGTACAACCCTCCCCCCCTACGTGACGTACCGTAGAATGTCCTCCCCAAGCATGTATTAATTTTTCCACATTAAATATATTCATTTCAAACAAGCGCGATGAAATACGGCTGAAGAAATTTTTTTTAAATACCGAATAGCTATTTTATCCTGTTAATTGATTGATTGTTTTGATTAGTTAGATCAATTTATTTTGCCTTCGAAAAATCAGTTTCTGAAGAACCGGTATTTAATAAATCATTTTTGGGGGGGAGGAAGGGGAAGGGAATTGTACAGTTGGTCCCACAAAAATGCAGCATCGCTAAAAGCTTTTTTTTGTTTTTCTGTACTTTCGTTTCATGAAGATACTAAGGACATTTTTCTTGGAATACGTAACTTCGTAATAGAAAGACTTAAACGCAGTGCTCATCTTTTTCGCTGGATTTCTTTTTACTTTTTCCTTTGTTTCTTTTCGAGTAATTAGGGCATACTGGCAGAAGCTGAATGAAAGTCAATTTTCTCGCTAAATTTTCGACATATGGCACATCGTAAGTCTTGTCTCGGCGCGATTGCGAGTCGGTGTCACTGCTGTCAGAAGTAATATCGCCTGAATAATAGAAAGATATAATTCAATCTCCATCGTCATATGAAAAGAAAGCCGAATTCTATTCACATTCACATGAAAGGAAAACGGATTAAAAACCATCTACAAGCTTAATCACCTACTAGTTTAATCACCTACAATTTTAATTTTGTTATTCCGCGCCTTCTTGAACCAATTTTTAAACTTAATTGCCAAGAATACTACCTCAGTTTATCAAAAATAGAGTACATTCACGATATCTGAAAACTGGTTTCTGTATAGAATGGTTGAAAGGTATTTGGTGTAATAAATCTTTTATCAGTCAAATTATTACGTCAGTTTCTACAACCGAGTCGAATTTAAGTGGTTAGATTTTGTTTTCCACCTGGCGCGATAAATTAAGTATCATGAAAGTTCAAATGAGTGGGAAAAAATTTGGGATTTTTTTTTGCTAAAATGTTCCAGGAAAAATAGGACCGGTAAGACGCCAGTCACCGAGTAAACTAAAAAAACTATATGGTTTTGCTAGATAAACTAACATGAGTCGTTCCAAGCCACTAATCCTCTCTCCTGTCTGGAGCCTGGGATGGTGTTGTCTAGAATGAATCCTGTCACTCCTCCGATGAACATGGAGGTACTCAATAACACAGTCACTATCTGGGACGCCTGGTCATTTCCTGGAATCCAAGATAAAAATATTTAAATATTTTAAAAAAAAAGTTTGAACTTCTCAGTTTTTTTTCTGTCTCGCCCTCAAGCTCAAAAACAGATCATTATAGGCAGGGTTGGATCCAGGATTTTCTCGAGTGGTGTGGGGGTTTTTCAAAAAGTTTTCAATAATTTTGTAGACTTTTTTAGGTCGGTTGAAATGGTTTTCCGGTTTCTCCCAAGATCTGTAAAGACCCTATTTGAACCAAACTTTCTGCTCTGCAGGAAAATTTGAAAAAAAACAGGCCAAAAAGCGTTTTCAGGCTTTTTCGGGAAAATTTTGACCAAAAATAGCGTTTTTATTGGCGCACGCTCCCCCCTCAAAGTTTGTATGTGTTGGCACCACATGCGCCTTTAGAAAGTTTTCAGGGTTGGTCAAACTAAATGAGAGTCTGAAAATAGTGGCAACTAGGCTTTATAACCATGCTTGGGCCCGGGTTGAAGAATGTAAAGACAAGTTGTATTTTTTTATTTTAAGCCTGAAAACAAAGTATTATGATTAGACAAGCAAAGCTTGTGTTGTAGTATGAACTCTTTTTTTTCCAACATAGTCGCAAATATTGTTGCGAAGCAAATATTGTTGCGACAAAATTTGTTCACTTTGAAAGTGTTCATTTTGATCAATAGCCAGCAATTAGGAACAGCCAATACTAAGGATATTAATACAGACTATTATATTACAAATAGCACTTTAGCTTCAAGGTATCATGGATCTGTAGCGTAGAGACAGTAAAGGAGAACCTCAACAAAACAAAAGGGTTCCAACTTGGGCAGGGTCGGATGTTCTTAATGATTTTTTTTCGTATACCAGTTAAAATGCGTCCGCTCTATAAACTGAGGCTTGTTAGTTGGTAAACTTCTTTTTTTTTCAATTTGACTGGTACTGATTTTGCGTCATAATTGGCTTGCGTCACTTAGCAATTATGTAGATTCATAATTGCGTGAGTCACTTAAAAAATTTTGTAGTCTCAAAGTTTTACTCTTTCAGTTTTACTCATTCCCAGCAGCGTTATCGGTCATATTTTTCTTGTGTATGAGAAGTGCAAGTGTTAGTTCTGCAACGATTTTGTTTTCAAAAATTGAGACGGAACAAACACTTTGAAACTTGAATTAGAATCTGAAATCCAATTAAAACTTCAATGATATTTTTTTTACATTTATCAAAAATAAGTATTTTAGTTTATAACCAGAGAACTTTTCCCGCCCGAACTTTTCACGATTTTTCAAGCATTGCAGTTTTTGGTTTATTTCATTAAATTTATGATCGAGTGGTTGTTTTAACTAATATGACTAATCACCGCTAACCTCTTGATTATTACTCCTCGTCTCCCAATTTTCTAATGGCAGCCCTTAAAAATAGATTGGTTTTTCGGGTTTTCCAGTTTCAAGAAGCCTTCAATTTTTTAAAAATTTTATGCTGTTTTGAACAGAACAGCTGTTCGCATCAAATGCAATACAGATCATTACGGGGCCAAACTGTATGTTTTGTGAATTTTAAGCGATCAACAAATATTCTCTTTACGAAATACAGAGCCAAAAATCAAATGCTTGATGAAGATTGGTGCCGGAACAAAAAATTAGCTTAAAAACGTTAGTTGAAAAATATGCCAAGGTGTACAATTTTCTTGCATTTTTTGCACGGAATTCAGAAAATTAATTTAAAGTCCAATTTTGAAATTGAAATTAAAAGGCATGCCCAGTTTTTGTTACCTTGACACTTTTGCTGTTCGAAATTGGAGTCGGCTTTCTTTTTATCAAAGGAAAAAAAATGAATTGAATTTAAAATAAATCAAGCATCACACCGCAAAAAATTCATGTTAGAGAAAAAAACTTTCTCAAAGACTTTCAGTATCCAACTCTTAAAACGCTGATGATTTTTCTTCGCGTTAGGGAGTAATTTAAATTTTAAGAACAGGTTTTCTAAAAAACATCCCTGCTAGCAGCACCTCATCAATCGCATTCTCCATTCATTGAATAACGCTGATGATTTTTCTTCGCGTTAGGAAGTAATTTAATTTTTACGAACAGGTTTTCTTTAAAAAAATTCCTGCTAGCAGCACCTCATTAATCGCATTCTCCATTCATTGAATAATGTACAGCACCTCATCAATCAATGAATGGAGAATGCGATTAATGAGGTGCTGCTAGCATGAATTTTTTTAGAAAACCTTATCGTAAAATTTAAATTAGCCCCTAACGCGAAGAAAAATCATCAGCGTTTTTAGAAGGCAGACTCCAAAAAGAAGGCAGTCTCCAATTTTTTAGAGTTCGAAATTGGAGTCTGCCTTCTTTTTAGCAAAGGAAAAGAAATGAAAGGAATTTAAAATACATCAAACATCAAACTGCAAAACAATTATGTTACAGAAAAAAGCTTTCTCAAAGGCTTTCAGTATTCAACTCTAAAAACGCTGATGATTTTTCTTCGCGTTAGGGAGTAATTTAAATTTTAAGAACAGGTTTTCTAAAACAAATTCCTGCCAGCACCTCATCAATCGCATTCTCCATTCATTAAATAAAGTACTAATAACACTTTAAATGTATGCAATATCATAGGATGTTGTTGTATTTTAAAAAAAGTTAAAGTTGGTTAAATATTAAACCTTCCATCTCTCAATGCTGATACCGCCAGGTACACACTGGGAAGTGAAAATATTCGGTTTTAACTTTGAATTAAGGCCTCTAGTTCTGATTTAGCGCACTTTTGCCTTCTATGCTTACATCAGATTATCACATTGATCAAATTATTTGCAAAATTACTTGATTTTTTTTGTGACAAACCGTCTTTTTTTCTTTCATTGTGTGTGCTTTCGTGATTACGAACAATACTTTTTGCAAAAATTTTCTTGTCGTATTTTTCTCTATTGAAATACAATGATAAAACACAAGTTTTAGTGTGGAATTAATATAATGAAATGTAGATTGAGAAAAATTTGTTTGCATTTTTTGATTTTTTTTTGTCTAAATTCGAGCGAGTGAAGCGAGAAAGCAGACTTATTTATGTTTATTTTAGACAGTTTACAATAACTTATTTACGCTTAATTTTAATTTTACTCGAGTAATGAATATTAAACAATCAACCAAACGAATATTAAACAAGCAACCAAACGTCACTGCCTTAAGTGAGAACCTCTTTTCTCTTACCTAAATCGATCACATTTTCAGGCTTCTGCATCCATTTAGGTAGTGCAATTCCGACGAAGATGGAGACTCCGAGAACGAACAGATTCCTACTGGATTTAAGATCCACCATCTGCAGGTTGGACAGACCCACTCCCGTGATCCTTAATTGAAAGAAATTTAAAAAAAAACTACGTGAATAAATAGAGTTCTTGTTTAACGAATAGGGTTCAGAGTTTTGTACGAGAACTTTGGCGACTCTTGAACCCTTAGTTTTCGTAGTTTCCTAGTTAGTACGTTAATTGCAGCGAGGAAAAGGCAATTTTTATAATACGAATTGCTCAGATCCTTTCAAAGAATTGCGTGAGAAGAGAGAAAGACTTAGTTAAGTTCCTTATTTAAACTCACATTCCGAACATGCAGAAGAAGACGCCTCCTATAATGGGCGTGGGTATTGTTGTGAAGACAGCTCCGAATTTGCCCAGACAGCCCAGCACTACCATCATCAGTGCCGCCCACTGGATGACTCGCCTGCTTCCCACCTACATTGATAACCAGGGGCGGGTGTTTTCAAAAAAAATTCAAAATTAGGTCGGCCAAATTGATTTTCAAAGCTCTCCTAAAGCACTAAAAAGACGCTGTTTTGGCCAAGTTTTCTGTACCGCAGGCAGATTTTTGAAAAAACAGGCCGAAAAAGGCGTTTTTAGGCTTTTTTTGGAAAATTTTGACCAAAAAATTGCGTTTTTTTGGCGCGCGCTCCCCCCTCACAATTAGAATGGATTGGCGCCAAAAATTTTACGGTCCGTCACCAAAAATGGATTTCTTAATATCCATTTTGGGTCGGCAGGGGGGTCGAATCCCTGAGGGGGGAAGGGTGCGTCCGTCCCCCCCCCCCCCCCTCCCCTAATCCGCCCCTGTTGATAACGAATAAAAAAGTCAGCAGCTCTCAGGATTTTGACGCTCAAAGGGTAGCACGCTCTTTGAAACTATTTGTGGGAATTTTACTATTTGTGACCAGTAATTTTTCTGAGAGCATTGATATTGATACTAGTATTAAATTCACGCAAAAATTTAAATTTTTGAAACAAAAATTGACAAAAACAGTACTCGGTGACAAGATTTTTCGGCACGTTTTCTCAAAATTTTTGATTACCGAGCATAAATTTTCAACAGCACATTATTTTATTAAATTTTTTAAAAGTTTGGAAAATCATCCAGGCCAAATTGCAGATCAAAATGAACTATCCCCGTGACTAAAAGTCAAAAATTAATACTGTGATGAAACTGCGAGATAAATTGAATCTTTAGTTTACTTTGTTTAGCCGGTTTTTAAAATAGAGAAAAAACGGCAATTAACTATTTTCTTCGACGCTCTTTACCCACCGCTATTTTAATACTATTGTAATCTAATGACGCAAGTTTTGGACTTAAGAAAAATAAAATAACTTTTTAAACGTAATAACCTTAGTAATTCCTATGGCGCCGACGTTTTCCGAGTAGGATGTTGTCCCATTGCCTGTGCCAAAGACAGCGGCGACCATACAACACAGCCCCTCGACCAAAATACCTCTATTGACTGCGTGTAGCTCCGGTTTCCCTGCTCCAGACAGTCTGGCACATGCGTAGTAGTCGCCTATGGACTCCAACATACTGGCCAGAACTCCGGCCATCATCCCGATTGCACCTGCCATGCTGAAGGTCGGAAGACCCCATTGGACTGAAACACGTAGTTTAAAAAGAAAAGTTGCATAAAAAAAACAACGTGGACTGAGAAAAAACTGGACTGCAACAATATGGCCCTTTTTTCATTAATACTTGCACCAAAAATTCGTTTCTGCAAATCGATGCTTTAAAACATTATATACAGATTTCAGATTAACTCTGTCACTTTTTTCAGGTATCAGGTGAATTGAGATTAGAAAATTCTTCACACTCAATCATGAACATACTTATATTTGGTTGTCTCGTGATGAATATGAAGCAATAAAATGAGAAACTATCTTCAATTCCGACGTTTACACGTCGTTTTTCAACGAATTGGAATTGTGCAAGCAATTTTTTTTTATAAATATAGTTTTCGAAAAAGCACGTACATTTCGTATTTTGCTCTACTGATATCTATTTTAGTTTATCTGCAATTTGAGCTAGATAAGCACCTGTACTGATTTGAACAACCCTAAGTTTTTTATCCAATTGCAGACATCACGCCACTTGAAAAATATCAAAACCTCCTTTTTTAAAATATAAGAACTTTCACCTTGATTCATGTGGTTGCATCAGTCTGTGCTGCTTTACAGCAATTAAGTGCTATCGAAAGGACTGCTACTAACAACTCATAGAGGAATTATGATTTTGTTAAATAATACCAGGGAAGCTTAATAAACTTGTTTGGTCATTTTTCCCTTAAGTTCATCCTGGTACAAGTTTTTAAATTAGCTCAAGCTTGGAGCAGCAGGGTCACTGAAGATACTGCATCAGGATACCCGGGTTGACCACAACTTCTTATCATACAATTTCCATATATGAGAAACTTCTTGTCATACAATTTCATACAATTCGATACGTACAGAAAATTGTATGAAAACTCTATGATAAGCATTTTTCCATATATGAAAATTGTATGATAGGTGTTTTCCCATAAACCAAAAATTTTGATTTTTTCTTTCTAAATTTAGTTTCTGAAAAATTTTCAGGTTTATTCAGCCTAACATGTAGACACCCCTATTTAAATTAAAACTTGTCTGCTAACTGAACATTATCGTTCCGAAATTCGAAGAAAAATGTGGAAAATATATGCTGGGAGTGGACACTTCAATTCATATCAACTTCCGAAAGAGAGGGGAGGGGCAAAGAAAGAGATAAAGGGGTGAAAAAAGGGATCGAGCCCAAAATTTACAAGTTACCGAGCGAATTATTTTTTTTGGTGCTTTGAGTTTAAACTTTTAAACATATTGCTTGTTTTTTACTTCGCCGGCTTCATCTATGATGTACACAAAAATTTGAAAGTTAGTCATGTGAGTATTTTAATATTTTTTTGCTGAAACAAACTTATTCGACAACAAAAAATGAAACATTTCACAACTTTCTAGGAAAGGGAACTTGGAAGTGTACCTGATTTGGAAGCTGTCCGCAATTTTCTTCATAAACGTGTCGGCCGAGAACATTTTTTTCACTGTTTATTTTGAGCCAGCTTAAATTTATTTTACAATTTAATGTTTTTCAATCAAGGTTTTATGAATTGTAATAACTACTTCTTCAAAGATATAGCAAGTGAACTTAGCAAGCGGATTTTAGCTTCGTGTACAACTTTCAACTTACACGGATAGGGTATCCGAATCCAGGGTGACTGTAGTATCACGTCTATTTTGGTGTCCACTCTCGCGGCATATCCTGCAGAGCCCTTCTCTTCAGATAGCAACCCAGTCCAGGTGAGAACTGCACAGATAAACCAGCTGGTCAGAACCGCCAGGATGACCTTGAAAAACAAGTGTGACTTTGGTAATAGGCTAAAACGGTAATAGAACAACAAGCCGAAGGGCCAACAAACCGAAAATTCCAACAGGCCGATCACAATTGGAACCTGATCTAAACTACATTTTATGATTGGATAAATTAGATATTTTACCATTGTAAAGTATTTAATATTAACCAATCATGATCCATCTAACTAACAACCCACTTATTTGTAAGTGCTGAAATTACTTGTAATTTCAGCACCAGAGAGATTTGAATTTAACTTAGAAATTAGTTGACGCTCCAAGCGAACTTCAGCAGCCGCAATAAACCAGTATACCCTAGATCTATTGAGCCTAGCAGAGACTAGTTAAACAACCTGAGACTAGATAGTATAAGAGTAAGATTAGGATCGGTATTAGACTAAGAAGTTGCACGAATCTATCCGGCCGAAAATAAGATAGCGTGACGAGCAGACGGTGTACCCTATCCGAAATTACTCTATGAGTTAACCACCTCGGTTATAACTCATCTGGTGCGACCATAAGTCTCGAACAAGACCTTAATAGCTTAGAATTAACCAAAAATAGATTAGAATTTAGACAAAACATTTTCAAAATGTTATACGACGATAATTTAATCGAAATGTCTCTACGACTCAATAGATCAGAGCCAATATTCCGAACGATAATAGAACTACCCGGAATTGGAAGAATACCTCGAACCAGAGACGACATACGACAAAGTAGAAACTTAACAAATAGTTATATGATAGTACGGCAAAAGCCAACACAAACTTTTATATTTAGAATTTTATTAGCAATGAATTTAGATTTTCATTTGCAAACATAAAATCTTGAAGCCAATCTTCATGATCATTACAGGCGCTAAACAAAATATTAATATACAATAACGATTGATAAAAATATCTCAGATCGTTTTCCTAAAATTCTGCAGTATTATATAAAACATGTTTGGAAAATATTTATTAAAAATCAAAATAAAAATTAGTAGCATGACAATAAACTGTTAGTAATCATAAAATCATCAGTTGTCTCAGCTTCATCACCTAAAACATAACAGCAATCATAAACTCACTAATATCATTCAAACACTAAATCTTTTTTTAAACAAATTTAAACCATTTTAAACTTAAATTCACTTAATTTAAAAAAAAAAATCAGATCATCAAGGCTTATCCTTGGATCTTAATTCATTTTCTATTTAATTAAATTTTAAAACTTGATCATCAAGGCCTCTCCTTGGATCAAAAAGAACAATTTTGTTCTCCCCCACCAACTTAGCCAGTGTCTAACGACCTCAAACGTCGATTCACTATCCAACCCTTTCTCAAAACCCAAAACTAATAGAAATTTTTCAACAAAACTAACCATTCAAATTAGGATAAACAGTGAAGAACTTCGGTTATTCATCCTTCACTTGAACCCTCCTCTTACCAGACCCAGGATAAATCATAGACTTAGTAAGTTTAAAATAGTATCTAACGAACTACTCGCGTTCTAATTATACCTGAACCTTGTGGATCGATTTACTATTCACCAACCCTTGAACACAATCACAACCCTTAAGTAAGATTAAGTAAGTTAACACCTTAGCTTATACTAGCCACGAGAAAGTAAAAAATCATTCTTCGGAATCGATATACTTTTCTCTCCAACCCTGAACAAATAGACCCAGGTTAAGCTAACCAAAAAATCGTAAGGACTAACAATTTAAGAAAATAGAAATCATCTAACAACTTTTTGCATCCGTCATCCTAAACCTTATGTCATTTAAAAATCTAGGAAACAAACAAACAATCGTTTTGCACAACTGTGAAATAGAAAACAAAAAATACGACCTTGTAATCACACCTCACACACAAACAGTTGGATATATTAGAACAAAACGACAAACACTAAAAAGAAAAATAATAACTAAACAAAGACAAATAACACGAAAAAGATTTTCCAAAAATAGAAACGCATTCTCAGAATCAGAAGTCAGCAATTTAGACGAACTTTATAAATTAAAAGAATCTATAGATAAAAATTGCCCCATTCACGATCAATTATATTTTTCCGACTCAGAAACAACTTCGAATTCATCAAAAAGAGGAAAAAGAAGAATAAAAAAGCAATATAAACACAAACCAGTACATTTATATAATTGGAATCAACCAATTAGACACATCGATAATTACCTATTAACAGTCATTAAACGAAAAAATGAGCCAAACACACACTCCAAGTGAAGATAGTCCAGATGATGACGATATCTTCCCCTTCCTCGTAGATGCACCCACTGATAGAGGACAGCATATACTTTGCAAGAATTTACTACTAAATTTTTTTGAACCCGGAATCAGCCCATGTAGAGCAGAGTTCCCAGATGTAAAAATCAAAAGACAAACTATTGATCACTATCTGAAAGATATATGTAATTTGACACAACACTACGGAATCTACACCATAGAATTCACCTCACCAAACCCGAATCACCGCAAATATGTAATTCAAACAGATGACCTTGATTTAGAATTTTCAAAAGTATTCTCAGAATACATAAAAAGCATACAATATCATAACTCACAAAGAGCAAACTCCATATTCACTAATGTCACCAGAACGAAGAAATACATAAAATTCGTCACAAAATCATTACAATAGACCAAATAGTCGAAATAACTACTCCAGATCAAATTCAAATACAACACAATTTGTTTCTAGATCTAATTCCCAATCAAGGAATAATTACTATCCAAATAATCAATCACGAAACTCATCATACAATAGAAATAGAAACTACTCCAATAATCGAAATAGAAGTTATTCAAACAACCGAAACCAGAATTACCCGAACAATCGATCAAGGAATAACTCATATAATAGATCAAACTATAACCGACCAAACAATAATTATCAAAACAGATCACGAAATAATTCACAAAATCGACATTCAAGTTATAATAACCGTTATAGAAATTATTCCCAATCACCACACAGGAATAATAACCATTATAATAATTCTAACAATCGCCACAGAAGTAGTACACCTAAACATCAAAGAAATATTAATCAAGTACAATCAAACCAAGAAACAACATCAGACCCCCCAGGTATTGATGACACAGGAAATAACGAACTACAAATAAATCAAATAAACTGTGAATCATCAGATTTAGAAAGTGATACAGGAAACACTATTTCCATCAATATGATAGCAGTCGAAAATGACTACGAACCTATTATATATGAACAAACTTTTTCATCACATATATATGAAAATCAATTAGAACTCCTTCATAATTATTATATTGAACCCATCCATTCTACACATACGGCACAAGAAACTAACGAAATCAACACTACAAATCAATCCAATGAAAATTACAAAACAAAATGCTTGAATACAAATCACATCTATCAAAATATACAAAAAGAACAACCCAAAGAAAAAATTTGGACAATACCATTTCTTTTAGAAAGTCCAAGAAACAAAGAATTTCAACCAACAGATCTTGAAATTGATTTTTTAATTGATTCAGGAGCAGAATCAAACATAATAAACATTCCCACATGGAATGAGATAAAATCATTACACCCAAAACTAACGCCTCTTGAATCCTCCAGTAAACTAGCAACAGTACAAGGATCAACATTAGTAAACTATCGAAAAATTCAATTATTCCTTCTCCCCACAAGAACAATAGAGCAAAATATAATTTTAAATAAACCATTTAAACAAATATTTCAAATCACTGATATTAAACACAATATCATTGGAATACCATTTATCTCTAAATATATACCAACAATAAACATTTTGAATAGTAAAATACTAATCAAAGATAAATACACAAAAACAAAAGACACATCCCTAACATTTTTTCAAAGATTAAATAAACAACCACCATTCTTTTCAAAATTTTATCCGATATATAATCAACAAAGAAAACACCTGAAACCACTATCAGGAAACATATATAATTTTTCAATAAAACAAGTTCACCAATATGATAAAAAACAAAACAGACAACAACTCTATATGTCAGATTTTGAATTCAAACCTATCCATAAGTTTTTCAAAATCACAATCTCATCCATAAAATATTTGAAAAACTCGAATTCAGATATTATTTCTCTACATGTATAAAACAATACACCCTATCAAGTAACATTACCTTTAGGACTTTTAGGCTATTGCGAAACCAACGCTACGATATCACCAGTACACGAAAAAGCACACCGCGTAAATAATATACTCCAATTATTAGATATTTGTCAATCCACAATTCTTAATGAAGAATTATCCATAAATAATATAATAAGTAATGAAAAAAAAAATACAGATTATTTCACAAAAACTCCATATTTCAAACCTACATTCAACATAAGTAACTACACAGAGACTCAACAGAAGTTTTTAACAATGTTTAACTTTCAACATTCACAAATAACACAAGACGAATTTGATAAATTAGCCAAACAACTAATAAAATATTCATCAGTCTATGCAACATCTAAATTTGATGTTGGCAAAATCAGTTCATCACTACACCTTCCATTAAAACCTGACGCAGTTTTCAAAAAACAAAGAGCAAGTAAAGTACCAATTCATTTACACGATAAAGTGAACAGATTACTCGATATTTTAGAACAATACAATATAATTTCACCGGTAAACAAAGAAGAACAACCAAAAGGTAACACATTTATCAACCCTGTTATCATCCTAGCAAAAGGAGAATCATTAAAAATAGTTCTAGACGCTAGATATCTTAATTCACTAATAGACGAATCAAAATGCAATTGGCCTATTGAACCAATACAAGTTATTTTAACAAAAATAAACGGAAAATACTTTACAACCGCAGATATGAATAGTGCATATAATCAAATGCCACTAGATGAACAATCGTGACGCTTAACACAATTTGTTATTGGAAATCAGCAATATGAATTCAACCGCCTATTCTATGGAATATCCATAGGACCAGCAGCATTTTCAGCTTTTATGAGC